AGTTTATCCACATTGATGCATTCACGGTGGCATTACGGTGAAGGAAGGATGGGTCTGCAACTTGCGTGTCCCTCATGCAAGTTGGATGAAGCCCTCTGCAAGTTGGGGGAAGGACTCCGTGGGAACGGGGGGAAAGTGCCAATGCGTTGAAGAGGAGTTCTCGTGCAAAGTTGGGGAGTCTCTGCGCAATTTGGGGACACGGGTGTTTCGTGGGTGTTGACAGTCAGATCCGCAGCACAAGAGGTCGGAAAGCCCACAATCCGTTGGCCTGGACGACTTATAGGGCGCGTGCCGGATGGACGCATCCCACAGGCCCAGGGTCCCAGCCCAGCTGGGAAACGGTCCTTGGGTCCGGGCATTGAAGCCACGCGACACATAGGTCCAAATGGTCGAAATGAGGTGTTTTGCACAATTCGCCGCAAGTTTGCTTTCGTGCCACAGGGCACCTTGTGCATGGGCAGATCAGTCAATGGAGAGGAGCCGTCAGCAAAGATCATGAGCAAGTAATTTCACTGCTTCAATTGACCCGTTGGCTTTTTGAAGTCCTTTGCTCGCGCCTTCTAAAGGTGTGAGTGATGTTGCCGTAGGTGCAAGTCTTCCGTTGCTGTGCTGTCATAGGTGAGGGCAAGGTGTCGTGACTTGTTGCCTTTGCCAACTTTGATGAGTATCTAGTATGGAAAGATGCCTCCTGAGAGATTGCTGGCCCAGTTCATCAGCCTGTCTTTATGATGTCGCTATAGCAATTGTTCGGCTTTTGCAACTGTCACCCACGAAGTTGCGCTTGGCTAACTGTGGGACAGAGGAAATCAAACAATCAAGCAATTATCAAGCGGCCTACAGCACATTGCGCCTTGGGGAGGTACTGTAATTTTGGTGTCCAATTCCTGTGTCTGGGGTTGGCTTGGTGTTGGGACGATGTTGCTAGGGTGACTGGTGTATCAGGCTGCATCTCTGTAATTGCCTTTGACCTGACATGGTCTCATGAATGAACTCAACCTAAGATGGCCTCTTGACAGATCTAGAGAAGCAGTCTCAGCAGTCTCATTCACCGCAAAACAGATGGCAACAGGGGGGCTTTCCATGGTCAGCGCTTGCACAGTGTACGCGTTTGCGTGTACACTCCCGCGCGTAGTGCTTTTGTCTTCCATCTCCAGGTGTTGCGACGCAATGCATTTTCTGGAGTACAGTCAGTACCTATCGTCAAGTCTCCAGTTCGATGCGCCAGTTGCGATGGCAACACTGAAGAAGGGGAGCAAGTGTTATGACATGGACTGCGTCCGCAGTGCAGACACCGTCGGTCAAAGCATGATATGTCGTATGCTGCAGGGTCGTTGTGCTGAGCGATCATTGCGCACCACTTCTCTTGTTTCCAAACCCCTTGAGAAGTCACTAGTGTTGCGGTAGATATGCACATGCACCCGTGAAGCAATATCAGGCTTTGGCCCGACATATTGATGATGTTTTGGCATGCATCAATGCCGGTAGCGGCACACATCTATGCTGGAATGCGCTTTCAAACCGCATGTGCTGACTGTCAGACTTGGTGCTCCCTTCAGGCCAAAGTGGGTCGATGGATATTGTGAGCCAAAGAAGCCACCCCGAGTTCATGCACGGTGTACTTTGGAGGCAAGTCCTTAGTCACTGAAGCTGTTTCACTCGAGCGCCATGTAGCAGCAAGCAGTTGCATGTTGGATGCATCAATTGAGATGAGAGGATGGGCAATTCTGTAAGAAGGGCCTCGTCAAAAGCGATTCCGCCAAAGCCCTACGCTTTCTTCGAATCAACTTGCTCGCGTTGAGAGACTGCGTGAGCCAGTGAGCCATGAAGATTTTGATAGTCGTGAACTGAGGAAGCAGACATTACCTCAGAGTGGGGGGATGCCTTCAAGGCCTCATGCCAGTTCTCACATGAGCTGGACTCTGTACGTGGTTCACTGCATTATTTGTTCTTGGTCGCTGACAGCCTGTCAGCACCAATCAGCGGGTGTAATGTTTAGCATACATGGAAAACCTGCATGCGGCTTGCGAATGTTTGTTCGGCTTTTAATATACCATTTTAGAAGGGGTATTCTTTCCACCAAGCACGATGCATGCCAGGCTTCTCAAAGAATTCCGGATTTGCGGAAATCGTAAATTTGCATCAGATGCAAAATGTTTGTATGTCTTTCCTATGCCTATCTCTGCGAGCTCTCAACCAAAGCCTGACACCCCAGACTATTCCCAGAAGCGCTTCCTTGATGGCTTTCAAGTGCCTTGTTGACTGTCAAAGCCTCTCCTCAACATGTGTTGCTTTGGTCTGTTTTGTGCTCGGGCGCATTTGTGTGTGGGGTAACGAGAGGTTTTTCAGTGCGTCGTTCATGAAGCCTCAAGTCCCTTACTTAAGCCATGCCATTGGAAAATCCCAGCATCAGTCCCTGTCAACGCTAGTTGCCACGTGTCTTACATATATATATATATAACATACATCTTGTTTTGTTCATTGCAACACGATCCGTAAGGATGAACATTCAAGCGCTGATACTTGGGGACTGTTTTGCTTCCGGAACTCGTGGCGGAGATTGTTCACAAGTGCCACTGCATGTACTATAAACAGTTGGTGGGTAGGAATAGGTGAGTGACTTTCTGTTAGCTGATCAGCTGCTCCTTGCTGTTCTGGGATTGTTCGATCATTCCAGCTGTTGCTCAACAGCATGAACGCGCCGGGTTGTCATGTTGGGTATAGCGGACCGTTCAGTCCAGAAAGTGTTCCCACACTCCCACCCTATGTGTGGTCAAAAGGATCTGTGCTGTGTCTGTGGTGTGTGTGATCACTCGGGAAGACTTGTTTTACATAGTTCGGTCTGATCTCGCGAGGTCTGTTTCGCAGGCCGCTTTCGGAAACACTGTGTGTTGTTCTAATCGAGCTTTTCTTGGGTTAGGGGTGTCGTCACGTGAATGGGGACATGATGGTGTTATTTACGTGCTTGACCCCACGCCTGAGCAGTAAACGGTTGGTGTTTGCTGCTTTGTTGCGGCTGATCAAGCGAGTTCACGAACGTGCTACTTGGGAAGCCCCGTGTTTAATACGGCGCTTCAGTTTGAGGAGACATTTGATTTTGTCAGTGAAGAGTTCGATGTCTCTAGCTTGGGTGGAACGATTAGATTTCGCTTTTCAAGGAAATGCGAGGGTAGCATGAGAATTCCAAAAGTGGAGGGTGTCCAGAGCCAAATCAAAAGTGCCAGGGCATGTTGTCACGAAAGCCTGTGGGAGAGTTCTTGTTTCAAGGCTTGGGGGTCGGGGGCTACATCCGTTGACCGGAAATTGTGGCCTTGGTGTTCGTAAACGCAAAGCGTCCCCACGTGATCGAAGTTCTCGCTCTTGGACCCTCGAATTTGCGTGGCAGTGGCACTTACATACTTGCTTAATACTTTAGTACCAGTCACATATTCCTGCCCCTGTGCCAACCTTTCCCTTTCCCCTGCGGTGTCCTTTCCCTTACATCACTGGCGCTACCCTGCTAATGACCACTTAAGCACCCCTACACATTCACTTCCGACCCTGATCTCATACCGCTTGGACAAAGGCTCGGAAGGGTGATTTTCACACAGCACGTCTTGCCATTGCTTGTCTTCGCAGCCTTGTTGTGAATTTACTCTTTCTCCGCACTCTTTCCCAGAGGAGTTCTGGGAGAGCACGCGCAACAAAGAAGAGGCTGCGTGCAGAACAAGCATCGCACAAAAACGGCACATTTGTGGGATCAATTCTCAGAAAGAGATGCAACGTGGTTCATGTCCACAAGAACGAGGTTCCTTATGCAGGTCAGACAGTTCAATTAAAGCCGAGAGATATGACTGACGGGCTGCTAGAGAAGGCCTAACAAACTGAAGTGTCAACGCTCATCCAGCACTCAGAACACAGACCCTACGTACCCATAGATCAACAATGCTTGAAGAATACCACCGCTCAACTCTCAGAGCCCAAGGCCTGAAACCTTAAGCACCTCACAACCTATTGACAAACACTAACAGAAGGCTGCAAGCCCAGCTCGAAGTTCCAAACTTAAGCAAACGAAAAACCAAGACCTGCCCCAAAACTTGAAACCAACTGTGGGACAAGACTTGGGCCCATGAAGCGCTGAACTTGAAATCCCAACCTCTGCCAATCTGAGCTAAGTCCAGGCAATGTATAGATCTAAAATCTAAAGCCCCAATTAGCACCAAGTCTTGAGTCCTACAAAGCTGAAGCTCAGAAAGCACATGCGACTCCACCTAAACCCTCGAACACCGATTTAAGTCTTTGAACCTCAAGCCCGATTTATCCCTATTTCAACTTTAACCCCTACAAGAAGACAGAGAAGCCAACCTTTGTTCTTGCTCTCCAGCTTCGATCTGAATAGATCAAATTATGCCAGGGACATCCTGGGCGATGTGTTAGCGCTGCGTGCTGCATGTTCTCCAGCCCTGCTACGCAGAGCCCTGAAGTACAGAAACTTGAGCCCCTAAATGAGACAGACTCTCGAACAGCCGAAAAAGTCTAACCAAAACCTTAGGAGGAATGTCGAGAAAAGGACTGAGCCCCAGAAACACGGGCCAGCTTGTTCCACACGCTTGGCGATGGAACACTTGTGCACTGGCTAGCACTGATTGAAGCGAATGCCGTTGGAGAACATGTAGTCACTGAGGAACGGCAAGTTAAGTTGCAACGAAGTTGGCTGGTGATGCGAAGCTGTTGCTCTGCAGGAGCCACCCGTCCAGGCCACTTGCTGTTGTAGTCGAGCTGCTGTGCATGCAGCATGCGCCTTCTGTGGCATTCTTTGCTTTGAGGTGGGGCTGGGGCCTTTGCTGCTGACGTCAGATGCACCCAGCCGTTCTGACAAAAGGCATGAACTCGGCAAGTTTCTGTGAGAAAAGACCGTGTGTGTGTGCGACTCGTTTGCTTGGCTAGTTCAATGCAAGATCAAGATTGAGTCAAAGGCTGCAATTGCCACTTCTGGCAGTAGCAGTTTCGCAGATTGCTTGAAAGGAACCACCAATAGATCCCATTGGGCACGAAGGCTGAGTGCAGTATTTCGGCCCAAAGATCTGTAGATCTGGACCGGAATACCCGTGGTGGTTGCCACCGCAAATGTGCGGCACACAGAGCCAGGCTTCAACGTACCAGCCAAGTCCAGAGTTTGCAAAGTCTGTCTGTTTTCAAAGGAAGTATCTTTGGGCGGCGCTTGCTGTCAGCGCAGGCGTGCACACTGCACACCCGGCATTTGCTAACGTGTAGTGCATCAGACGTTGACACTTGACACTGGCCACTGCGCGCAGTCTTGCCCGAAGTTGATGGGCACTTCGGGTTTTTGGACCGCGGCCACACCAGGCTGACCAGGCAAGGATAACTTGTGGAGATGCCTGCAGGGTGGAGCAGTGCAAGTCATCGTAACGTGAAGCACTGCAATCCTTGCTGCAGCCTGCGTTCCGCAGGGAGATAGCCGATCCTGCTCCGCCAACCCCCGCTGCAGGGCCACAGGTGGCCCGCCTGTTCTTGCCATGCTTGGGCAATTAACTTGTCTCGACTTGCTATTATGCTGGCGCCTTCTGCATCGCTTGCGCAGACATTGCCGCCGAAGCCATGGATGGGAGCTCAGGACTTTGCTCTTCAACCAGTGGAGAAGACGCCGTCTTTCTTGTGCAGATACATGTGCAGGAGTACGTGCTGTTCGTGATTGCACCAGGGTCGGACCTCACCTCAAAAAGCCAAGAAATGCTAAGATGAAGGAGAGGAGCATAGAAGCCGTGTCCAAGGCAATGGTGGCCTTTGCCTTCGTCATCTTCCTCCGTCACTTTGAGGCCCAGGGCAGGGGTCAGACAGCAGTTCCAGGCTCAGAGCTTGAAGTTAATGCCCCAGAAGCTGAATGTTGAGTAGTTTCGAGCACTGCAGCGACAAAAAAAAAGCATCGATCACCTAGACAGTTTGCGCAGGAACAAGGGGGCGTCGACTTGAACGATTGAACTCACTCAACACCCAATCCCGTCGCTGTGCTCGCCATCTGACGTCCAGTGACGGTGGGAGCAACCGGGAAGCAGCTGCTTTATCTGGACTTGCCCGATTCCAATCCACCATCTTCTACCACCAGTCCAGGCGCGCCAAAGAATAGCCACAATAAACCTACGATTCATCCGACAACTCAAGTTTGGGTCCTTCTCGCTGATGTGGCAGAAAAGGAAGCTGTGATCACAACATGCTTCTGGCAAACTTTGGAGATGACACGACATGACATGTGCCACGGCAGCTAGAGCTTGTAAAGCTGCAAGCTACTGTATCTTGTCAAGCGGGCTAGAAAAAGCAGTGCGTCTCATTTGCATAGGAGAGGAGCTCTCAGTGGAATGTGCGTACACGCAGGAGACCGTAGCTCTTAAATCATTTTTAACCTTTGAGCCATGTATTGCTTACAAGCGGTGTGGTATCGGCCAATGTCTGCTGGTTTCACGAATTCTTGGCGAGGCGAGGCAGACTGAGCGAAGCGAGGAAACCGGTGAAGGAGGCGAAGCCGGCAGATGGAACGAAGATCTTGAGGCACGCAGCATGCATCTCATGAAGCGCACCATCTGCCAAGCATTTGCAGTCTGTTCTGCGAGGTTGTTGATCGAGAGCCGGAAGGTCTGGATGAGGACACTTTTTTGCATCCAGTTGACCCATGCGGTTCAGTGAAGAGATTCACTGATTCAGCTTAGTTACAATTCTATTTGCCTGCTCCGTCGGGCAATTGAGCGAGGCTGAGCCTTCGCTAAGTCATCAGGTATGGGATGCTGGGATAGACCGCTACATTTCTTGTTGTGATAGGCTTTCGCGGTTCTAGGAAGGGAGCAGTTGTATCTGGTTTTGCTGAAAGATGTTTCGCTCGCCGCCCAAAGTGCCTGTAGCACTTCTTCTAGTGCAAGCTGATGCAAGGGTCAGAAGTCTGAAGCTGATCAGACTCCGACGAAAGGCAAGTGCAGGTGCATTGAAGGCCCCGTGATGGAGCATCAATGCTGGACTTTGCGATTAAATGCGCTGGCCCAAGACTCAATCCTCAATTCATCGCCTTGGCTGCGTCAGGATGTCTATGGCGCAGGGATTGCGGCCTTGGTTCGTGATTCCTACAGCTTGGTGGATGGCAAGGCAACCTTCAGACCAAGGGCAGCCAGAAAACCCGACAACTTCTGGGGCAGACAGATGTGCTGTGTTTATGACACCAATCAAGCTACAGTATGGGGAATAAGGTCAGTCAATGGGGTGCAACTAGGAGTAGCTGCATATGATGTTGTATGGTAGCCGCTGGGTCAGCACCAAGTTGCCCCAGGCAAGGTTCCGGAGAAATAGACGAGATTTTCATGAAGCTTTATGGGGTCAGTTTTCCGGACAGCATGGGATATATAAAGAAGGAGTACGATATTGAACTTTTGTCCTTGCCATGCCTGCGGGGTGACACAGAAGACGCAGGGTTGCCATTCTTGCACGACAGCCTTGCAACAAATCGAGCAACTCAAGCTACTCAAGCTTCTCAAGCCAAAGCCTTTATGCGATTCGTTGTCTCTGAAGACAAAGCTTCAGGCTTCAGGCTGTACCGTAATGCATTAAGAGATCCTGAGGCTTGAGTGTTCACCATTGCAACGGCTTTGGCATACAGCTGGGCTGTGAATTCTGCAGGGCGATCTCGCTCTCCGTCTGTCACGGTTGGGAAGCAGCTTTCTGCTGATGTTCTTCGCGGCTTGGCCAAAGTAAATCGTGCCAACAGTCTACCATTCAAGCAAGTTTATGACTTGGTGTTAACCTTATATGATCTTCCAACTGCTTCATGTTTCCTGGCTTCCTGGTACCCGCACGGTCATGTCATCACCAGGCGTCTCTTCATTTTTCCGAGTCCCAATGATTGGCTATTCCTTCTTATCTTTGCAAAGTTTATTGCTGGACTTTCCCAAAGGTATCGCACAATTTGTTGGGTCTGGCTGAGGTAGTTTTCTTGCAGATTTTTGTCATCAAGCAGATGCAGGCCCTGGTTTGTTTGTGTGACGCTTGTATGCGGACCGCATGTGCGTTTGGTCGGAGCCTGCACTTCTTGTTCTTCAGCAGAGCTCTGCAACTGGCCGAGGCTCTTGTCGCCGCCCGAGCCGTGACAGAAATTCGGCAAATCTACGGCAGGCGGACGCTTGAAAGTACGTCACAAGCCAAGCCCATGATGACAGCGCCTGGTGTTGGCCATGTTGATATCCCTTATGGGCGAGGGCAGGAGCTGATATCATTCTTGCGTAATCGGCGTAGTCGCTCGCGCGTTGCAACCAATGAGGAGCGCAAAAGCATGCAGAACGCAAGGCGTGACCATCCAAGCTCACTTGCTCGTTCGTGCTGGTGCCATCGGCATCTCAAACTGCCTGCACACTAAACCGCTAGACAACGTTTTCGTCTTGCATGGCTTTGACTTCCACAAGGTGAACGTACAGCTTTGATCCGCTGGTTGTACTCAGTGTGGTTTGCGGCTAGGACGGCGTCCAGTCAGAATTTTCAACATGAAATCACGTGATAAATGTGCTGGATAGTTGGATCAGGTTTGATGTATGGGTGCATTGGGACAGGCAAACTGCCTCGACACGATGACTAATGTTGTTTGTGCCCGTTCAGTCAGGCTAGCGGCCCTTAAGGCCGCATCCCGCTCGTTTGGACCGGTGCTTTCCTGGTCCGGTGGGTTGGTGATGGACAGATGTAGGTTTGGTTGGTGTTTACCTCTGCCCTAGGCGGGCATACGCAACTTGCATGCAGTCTTGCATTGAACTTCCAACAGCATTTACCGCGACCCCTTGCCCTAGTTTCAGATGGGATGGGGCCAGGGCAAGTAAAATGACATTCAGTCCGCAAATTCGGCTCCATGAGACGACCCCCACGTATTCCGTCTGCACCTCAAGTCATGAGGATCCTGCTGCTTTTTGTAGTTTTGCATCCCCTGGCATACCTTGATCCAACTTTGGATTGTTGGTTTCTCCAGGTTTCCGCTTGCTGTTCTTCCACGTGTAAGCCTTGCTGAAGATTCAAAAGGACAGCTGCAGAGACAGCTCTAGCTCATGGTGCAGAAGGCCTTCTCCAGGGTCCTGTTGCGCGGCTTTTGCCTTCCGAATGCGGAACTCACTCAAGCCTCACAAAAGTGGTAGCACAAGGTGCGTCACATGGAGGAGGATGGTAGGCTGTATAAACGATGACACAAACCTTGATGAGGTTTGGGTCGCTGACGTTCAAAGGAAGTGAATTCAGCCTACCACACAGAAAGAGAGTACTGCAATGCTGGACTCGCTGAAGCTCAGACAGAACAGTTGCAAAAGGAGCTGTACCGGCGGTGCCGGAGGCTTTTCAGGTTTTATTGGCGATTCTCTTAAATTCTACGTTCAAGCCACTTTGACACCCAAAGAGAATGTCTAGAAAAGGCCAAGTGCGACGGGGACGTGCTTGAGCAAACCGTCTCCTACCACTGTTGCCACAACTGCCACTGCTATCACAGCCGCAACTTTGACAACCACAGACGTCTTTACACAACTACCCAGTCAAGAGCTGCTCTGCTCGCTTCCGCTGGCTCTTTTAAAGCACCTGTGCCCCATCATGGAATACATACATCGCACGCTCACGTTTAAGGCGCAAAGGCATCTCAAAGGGGTGGACCTGGTACCATACCCCCAGGGCTAAGCGCTTTTTTGTGATTGCAAGGAGTAGCAGGCTTGGTGGGTTGGTGACATTTGAAGGGTTCGAATAACGTAGGTGCAACATTATGTGCTAGCCCATGAGACTCTTTTAGGTGGGCCGTAGAGTCCTTCCATCGTGGCAAACCTCTGGTTTTGGGTTGTAGTGGCAGGGAAAGTTTAAAGTTTAAAGTCCTTCACTCCCCAAGCAGGTGCAGAAGCGCAGAGGTGCTGATAGATCAGCGAAACCATCTCGGGTTCATGCGACCAAACTCTAGGCAAAAAGGCCGCATCATGAATGGATGACAGGCATGGCATTTCAAAGAGAGTCTGTACAGTTCTGTCAACGCCACACCTTGTGAAACCTCCGTCATCTTGGTTGCGATGGCGCAGGGGCTTGAGATGTGGCATGCTGATGTATGGGATTGCATTCCCAGTTTTTTGACTCCACTTCATTTCTATAAACTTCCACGTTTTAAAGTTTGTCGTCGTGCAACACTCTGCCGTTTGCTCGGAACTACTTGTTGAGTCTGAAGGGACGGTTACAGCCATGCTTCCGCCCAGTTGTGATTGAGGTGTCAAGGCAAATGGAAGACAGAGCCACTCTTGCAAGCTTCGAGCATGGAACGATTTCTGCAAAGAGCTGGACATTTTTGAATCGGAAAGCATGCAAGCAGTCCAGTGATGCCTAGCGTACCGCTGCCTGTATGGTCTCTTGCAGTAGCTGATACCTCTTGATTGTTGCTGACCCGCCTGCGGAAGCAGGTTTGAGTTTGTCATGTACGGTGCGGATGTCACGCACAACTATCTGACTCCAAACGGCTTCCCTCGCGGACTCGACAAGCAGTTCTTCGATGCGCAGCTCGGGCTGAAAGCCAGCCACCAAGAGTACTGACGTCTAACTTCTGCGCTGCAAGCGAGGTCAAACTTCGCACGCCTCACGGGCGATGAGAAAGATCTTGCTTGCAACTCGTGCAGATGATTAGTTTTGAAACTCTTTCTTGACTGCTGATTGTTTTGCTGTTGGCGGTTTGCCCTGAAGATGCAAACTTGCTGCCGGGCTTGCCAAGTTTTCTGTTCATATCTAGGTAACATCCCCTTCTCGCAAATGCAGATCTTGGTGCCCATCTTGTTTATTTGGTGCCTTGGTGAGAAGCTGCCATCAGGGCAACGCAGGCCTCCCATGTCTTTTGCATATCACCAAACTCAGGACCTTAACGATTGTTGCAGATTTGCGACGCTGCGGAGATTTATTTGTGCGCCTCATTCTTGCCACGCCGACAATTACCAGCATGAAGGCAACTACTCGGCTGTTTCTGTCATCTTCCCATGTCCAGGGAAGCTTCCGGAGTTTGGGGGTGCCTGGTTTCAGGACGCCGTTGTCGAGGGTGATGGGGAGTGCGAGATCATCGTAGGCCTGACAAAGGAAGTGAAGGCTATGCTGCTGTCCACCTGCAACTGTGCTGGAAATTAAGTTCAGAGTTTGTGTGCGAAGCAATGCGAAAGCTAGACTCATCGGGTGAGTTTCGTTGGCCTGGTGGCAGCTGCTCAGTGGGCAGTGAGTCAATCCTATCCATCCACATTCAGTTCTATGTATCTAGAAAGGGAACAACAAGGTAGGACGTCCGCTGGAGTGCCCTGCATTTTCACGAGTAGAGCAAACAAAAACTGAGCTTTTTCAATTTGATGTCAAGCCGCGCATCCTCGTAGAGGCAAAAACCCTGAGACGGCATGGGTTTCAGCAGTTTCGGTGCTTTCGCTATGGCGAAGAGAGACTTTAGGCAGCAGCATGTCATTGTTTTCATGGTATTCATGTGAGTTGGGCAAAGGCTGTAGCGGACACTTTGAGTTGCAAAGCTTCATCCCGGACTTGCATTGGTGTTAAGCGTACGGCAGTAGAAGGTTCCATCATGCAGCGGGCCGGCCGTTAGCTTTGATCTTTCGGCCCAATACTACCTAGCAAGGACGATGAGGGCTTTAAGTCCTTAAGTATTCAGAAGGAGGTTGGATACTACTCAATTAGGACTATTTGGGGTTTCAAGCTTGGAAAAGGCGCTCAAGTACTACTTGCACAGAACACTTTGCAGCTGTAAGGATTCAAAAGTGGCCCAAGTATGATTGATTCTGTGTTTTTCGTATTCAAGAGAGGCCGAGATGCTACTTTGTCAGAGCGAGTTCGGTTTTCAAGTGTTCCAAAAGGTACCAAACAATGCTCAGCCAGGACTATTTGGGGTTCCAAGTACCAGTAGTATGGCAGGACCTTTTTGTATTCTGTTGTGGTTTCACCACGGGTTCTCTGGTCACCGAATGCTCTCTGAGAGATGAACATTACTGGTTTGGGCAAGGCCGATCTGTCAGTGCAAGATCTCGGGGATGACGTTATTCTGCTTTGGGTATGGATTGCGTGGTGGGCGGATCCCGTCAAATATGAACGTTATTATGGCTTCAACATGGACGCTGTGGTGATCGGAAGCAGCTAAAGGAGAACGTTTCTATGGTTTCAGCATGGATGTCTAGCCACTGTATGCTCTTGGGGATGAACATTACTGTGTTGTGGGCATGACTGCTCTGGTAATTGGAAGGGCTTGAAGAATGATGTTATCATGGTTCCAGCATGCAAGCTGTGGTGATTGGGTGCGGTTGAAAATGAACGTGATCATGGCTTCAGCATGGATGCTCAGATGCTCTCATGCAGTCGAACGCTATTGTGGTTTCAGCATTCCGAACGCATGGCACTTGAGTGGACGTCCCGAGTAGATTCCCATCGGATACGAATTCAAGCAACGGGGATGGTGGACGCGTTGTTATTCGTGAGAGCCCCTGATGCGATTCCCGTATGTTTGGGGTGCTGGCAGCGGGAGTGAGTTGCAAGCTTTGTTCGGTGCTTTCAGACAAGGCATGATCCCACGCTGGGTCATTGACGTCTACCTACTTTGGCTTGGGTGCCGTTGGCTGTGCGCTACACCCAACTTTGGAGACTTGCTGCTCAATTCTGCTGCCTCGCCGCAAAATTGCTCATGTAGAGCTGCGAGTTTGGCAATAGGTTGACAAAGCAGCAACGGAAAGTGACTTGCCAGGTTGCGTTGGAATTCATTGTCCTCCTGAAGGTCCTTTGCACTCATGCAAGTCACTGCTGCTGGGCTTTGAACCTGTCAGGACACGCTATTCATAGGCACGGCTTCGCCTGAAGTGCAGTTTGCGTATTTTGTTTGCACTTGCCTTGCGATGCTTTGTGGGCGGCAGGTGTGGTCCCAGATCGCCACTTGGAGAAGAAGAGAGACGTCTTTTCTTCTTCTTGCTTCGTGCCAAGTTGTTGTCATCTGTCATATGCAGGCAACAAGAGAGCCACGCAGAACACCTTGATCCAGCCTTGGCAGAAAAGAGAGCCCGCAAACTATCGATCCTGGGATGCAGAAATATGCAGACAGTCTTGGCCTGTCAGAGCCTTCTTGGTTGTTGCTGGAGGCGTGCCATAGGGTCAGCCCGTGCAAGGAGTGTTCCTATCAGCTTTCGTGCTGGTCCTCGTATCCTTCTCCTGGGTCTTCTACTACATCTACCGCTTCCAGGTCCGCTGCATTGACACGATGTCTGGCCCAAGCTACGAACGCGTCGCTGTTCTCCAGCAACTGGTGCTATACACTGAGACCAAGAAGTGCCCATCCAGCCGGGCCACTTGAGGCATGAACCCTCCACCGTCGAAAACTGCAGCCAAATTCGAAAACTTACCAGCTGCGCGGTTGATGGTTTGAACACTGCCCAATACCACGCTTACATAGAAGGACTCTGCAACCCACAAGTCGCTGAGCATTGTTTCCTCCCACCAGCCCAGCATATGATATATATATATATATAGCGAACAGCGGCTTAGAACGTCCTTACAAGTTACGTTTTAGCAGTGCTATGCTTGCTTGCAAACGGATGTTTTCAAAGCAAGCAATCGCGACGTCACACACAGAGATAGTTGCTGGACAAGCAAGAGGGCTTTTCGCAAAAGAGAGGAAGGCTGATCTTTCAGCCTCTTGCGAGGGTTAGGCATTAAAGAGAAAGCAGTCAAGCAGACTGCGCCGCGCTGAGAGGTGGTCATGAGATGCGTTGAGCGGAAGTCCGGCGTAAGCAACTCCGCAAGATCAGCAAGGAGGAATGGGACTAGCAAGCCACAACAGGCCAGCTTGCCATCCACGTCGAAGGCATCCTCGAGGAAGCCACCCTCCACCCTGGCTCCAGCAAAGAGCCTTAGGCAATAACACAAAAAGGGTAATGACCTCGGCCTGAGTCGCGCGTGCGCGGTTGCTCAGATGAACCCGACGCTCCTTTGTGGATCAAGTCCATGCCATAAGGTTTTGCGCGACTCTAGCCATACAAGTTTTCCAACAAGGGCAGGGACCGTCTGCAGAGTTTGCTGAGACTTTCGCTGGGTTCGCAGGCGGTGCTGCCAGACTATAAGTGGGATGTTCACCAGGCGGGGCGGGACAGTGGCTGCTGCTCTTGAAGGACAATGTTCTACTGTGTCTATTGAAATCGGGCTTTGTACCTGTACTCCGCTAGAATTTATCAATGAAGCTGCTTGGATACCTGCGAGGTGTGCAAGAACTACATCCAGTCAATCACATCCGGCAAGTCCAGATAGATCAGATAGGCGCAGCTCAGACCTGTCGCTGAAAAGGCCGCGTCCTGGAAATAGCAACGCACCCATTCGGCTCAGAAGAACTCGTTGATATTCTTTGACAAAGACCACCATTTGCATCCATTCGCTCAAAAAGCTTCGGCACTATCCGAATTGCCAACATCTTCACGTGCGGCTGTTTGGCTCAAGGCGTTAGCAACATGAAGTTGTGGCGCTGGAAGTGTAGTCTGCTGCAATGAAGGCCTTGCGCAGTTGTGTGCATGGCTGCCCGGCACCAAGATACTATAATCCCATTTAACAAAATCTGCCATGCTGAGACTGTTTCCATGTCTTTGCAGCAAAACCTGCAGCTGCAATATTAGTGAAGTCAGGTGCCAAACCATGCACGAGATCATGTGGTCCAACAAGAACTTGTTTGCTGGTGGCTGCTTGCATGTGATCAGCTTCTGATAGGAGGCCAGTAAGGCTCTCAGCACCTCACCTTGCACCACTGCCAGGTGTTGCAGTGCAGGTGCAGGCGAATATAATCAATAGGGACAGGAATCCGCGGGGCTGTGCTTAGCATCAGTAGGCCTCCGTAAGCCGCAGTAACTGTTCTTCGCACCGAAGCGTAAAACAAAGTCGTAATGAGTAAGCCTGGGAAATAGGTTTCTCAGATTGGCGCCCAACATGTTCTTCGCTGTTGTTCAATGTCTACTGGTGCTGGTGCTGGTGCTGTTGTGTTCCGATACGTAGCTGCCTGGAGAATGGACGGCGGGCAGTTTGTGTGTAATGTTTAAGTCCTGGTAGCTGTTGGGGCGCATTCGCCTGTGTTCTTCGTTCTTCAAGCATGTCAACATGGGACGTGATTTGGCAGCCTGCCGTCAAGCAGTCTATTCTATTTGATGAGGCTTACTGTTTTGGCAAGTGTCAGTTGTTTGTGCTGCCAGAGAGCGGTGATGGCTTGGCAAGGCTGGCGTTGGTTCTCTTCCCTATTGACGCATCGAAATTGGCCGTGGTGCGGGCCTTCGCC